ACCTAAGGTGGAGGGTTTAAATCCAACCCGGGACAGCCAAACAACAACAACTGCAACCAAAAAATAGCTGGGCATTGTGGCAGGTGCCTGTGGTCCCAGCTACTTGGGAGGCTCAGGCAGGAGAATCGCTTAAGCCCAGGAGTTGGAGGTTGCTGTGAGCTGTGATGGCACAGCACTGTACACAGGGTGACAGCTTGAGGCTCTGTCTCAAAAAAAAAAAAGTGCCACTGCACTCTAGCTGAGGCATCAGAATGAAAAAAAAAAACAAAAAAACATTCAGACCTGGAAGTTGGTAAGAAGGGGAAGAAAGCCTGCAGAAGCTGGTTTCTGCAGAGAACCCTCCAGAGTCACATTCGCAGCTCTGTTGTGAAGGCTCGTCGCACCCTTGCTGTGTCCTCTTACTCCATGTTCCCTCCTCATTGCTTTCTCGTTTTCCCTGGTAACATGTGAAGGCACTGCAGTTTACACGGTGTTTTCTTAGAAGGAATGGGACAAAGTGTGGAGCCTAGTCAGGGAGACGGATAGTCTTTGCTTTCCTCACTTTAGTTATCCGGGGGAACGGCGATGGGATGGGAAGATTCCCCCAGTCTGTTGACTGTATGCAATGGAGGAGGAGTATAACACATGTGCTGTTAGGGAAAGAGAAGAGGGGATGGATCTACAGGGGCAGCCAACCAATCCCTTTCCCTGGGCCTTTCCCAGGGCCTTGAGGCCCTGTGGCCTCAAGGCCACATGTTATTCTCCAGATCCCCAAGTACAGCCCCTTGACCAAATCTAAACTTCATAAGACAATCCCTTTATTGAAAGAATTTGTTCTGTAAAATTTGGTTTCTGTGAAAAGGCCATACTCCAGGATCTAGAAGGCCGCAGGTTCCTCACCCTCAGAATGGAAGAAAGCTGTGGCTTCTTGGGTTAACTAATCCATGAGCTTTATTAACTAGTTCATACGCACAATTAGGAAGGGGAGAGGAGGCCTGACTGACACTCCTGGGAGAATTGAGCAGCTGGGGGCGTCCTGGATGTACCCTCTTTGCTTACTCCTATCTCTCCTCCTAGCCACCTCTGCTTTGCTCTGTCTCTGAAACATGTCATCTTTGACATAAGACTTAGTCACTGGAAACAAGTAGCGGTAGAATGTCACATCCATAAAGGCTGCCATTACAGTTTCCACAGTAGTTTTGCTTGTTTTTTTTCCTAGACCATAGCCCAGTGGCGTAAAGCTGGGTACCAGGACATGCCTGAGTACGAAAACTTCAAGCATCTTCTGCAGGCACCACTGGATGATGCTCAAGAAATTCTGCAGGCGCGCTTCCCGATGCCGCGTTACATTAACACGGAGCATGGCGGCAGCCAGGTATGGGAGGGGAGCTCCAGCTGCAGCGTCCTGTTAGTTTTAGGATATATTTTATGACTGCATTCAAACAGGGACATAAATTGACATAACAGGTAATCTTCCAAATGTGACTTCTTTTTAAATGAGTAGTCCAAATATGCTGATATGAAAGGGAGGGATCGCCAAAATAATATACATAATTTATGTCTCAGGATTCTTAATGAATGGAGAGCCAGCAGGCTTAAGCTAAAGAAATAGGTTCCTAGTAAATAAAATTTCTATTTTAACCTAAGAATTGTTATAAAAACTTCTCTTTTTGTTATTTTTCATTTTTAAACTTTTTTTTCCTAAAGGCTCGATTCCTTTTGTCCAAAGTGAACCCGTCTCAGACACACAATAACCTGTATGCTTGGGGACAGGTAAGACATTGTCAGGTATTTGGAGAAGCTGCTGGGCTACTTTTAAAATACTTGGTCTAAAATTTTATAAATTGGTTTTGGGTCTCTTTTGCCCCAGAGACAGAATACTTGAGTATTTGTGTGTGTGGGGGGGCAACTTTGAATAAGCATAACTGGGCAGGGCGTGGAGGTGGGAGGAATGACCTGTGTGGATCCCTTTTCCCAGCACACTGTGCATGTGCCAGTTCAGGACAGGGGACAGGGACAGCCATTTACTGATTTAACTGCATCCACATAGCAACACAGCCCAAGTCCTCACTCCCAGGATCATGAGGACCTCCTGCTCACCTTTCTTCTGCCTCCTCTTCAGTTTCCAGGCCCCAATTCCTTCCTTTTTCTTTTTTTGTCCCCAATTTCTTCTTTACCTAATCGTTGCAGAAGTTTATTGCTATTGACACAGTCAAGGTATACAACATTTTCACCACCACGAAAAGCTCAAGTTGCCCTTGTATAGTCATCTCCTCTTCTCTCCTGCCACCAACCCCTTTCCAACACCTGGAAACTGCTCATTTGCTTACTATTTATTTAATTCTGTCATCAAGAATGTTACACATATAAAGTCACACTGTGTATAAGCTTTTGGAGTTAGCTTTTTTCCATCTACATAGTTATCTAGAGATTTGTCCAGGTTATTGCATCTGTCAATTTGTCCCTTTTTATTTGCTAAATACTATTCCACAGTAAAGGTTGTCATAGTTTGTGTGATCATTTACCCATCAAAGGAATTCTGGCTAGTAGGAGGATAGCTGCCTCTCACATTCATGTGCAGATTTTTTTTTTTTTTTTTTTTTTTTT